TTTTCAGGCACTTATCTCCAAAATAAGTTAATCCAGCTGAATTAGAGCAAAAAGATGCAATCTCTAGCTCAACGGAAAAAAGGAGCAAAGTAGAAGGAAAGAGGTGAAAAACAGCATTCTTCGATCGATCATACTAAGCTTCAATCGATCACATAGTGATCGTTCCAACAAGGCTAAGATGGATCAAGCCTTTTGTCATTTTCCTCACCAAAATACCTTCTTCGATCGATCCAACAATTCTCTGATCGATCAAACACCCTTGATCTTATCCCACCTACCACTTTTATCTTTTTCCCAAAACATCCCAAAAATATCTCAGCCTTGTCTTATTCCAAAAAGTCACCGACATAGTTCGATCAATCGAACCAACCTTGAGATCGATCGAACATCCTCAAATGCTTGAAAAAGTTGATTTCAAGCCAAATAAAAGATGTGCTCATGGTGCAATCATTTGGATGTCCTAGTGCACAAGGGCTAACCATTGGGTGTGACATTTGAGCCTTCTATATAAAGATTTTGGCTATTTTTGAGTAAAAAGAGATTAGTTAAAGAGAAAGACTTGGTAGAGACTAGAGAGAGAATACACAAATTGGGAAAGTTTTTCCTCTCTTTTAGGTTTTCTACTAAGGAGGAAGAAGATTTTCTAGCATGGAGATAGCCCTTGAGGGTTGGATGACAACATTAATGAGTGACTAAACATCTTCTTGGGGCTAGAGCTAGCTCTAAGCATGCCTCCTAGATTTTGATGTTTTGTAATTAATGAGGATTACTGTTGTAATTCTTGTATTGACCTTTGATATATATAAATCTTGTTTCTACCATGATTTGTGTAGTTTAATACTTCCAACAGATCATTGTATTATATTCATATGTCTATGTATGCTAGAATAGATGTTCATGTGTTTATCTCTAGGTTTTGTGATATTGATGAATGTCTATGTGTGTTGATGCTATGAATCTAGTGATGGTCAAGGCATGGTGCTTAAATGGAATACTTTTGTGGTTTTTTTTATGGTTCATACTTATTTCTTGATGGATTGTGCCTCTTCTTTAGCTTACTTAGTTTAATTTTCATATCTCTAGCTTAGTTGTAGTATAATTGCTTTAATTTCTTAGATGGGAGGATAATCCATGTTTGTTGTTTGATGTTCCATACTTATGAATGCAAGTAGTATATTTCTCTAAATTATGGGTGTGTATTGATTGAGGGCTTAAAGGAAGGAATAATGGCTTAACTTGATATGTTATGCTATTCACTAGATTGGTTAGACAATGTATGCTTACTTAGCCATCCATGCTATTATTTCAATCAATTGCACACAATTTCATTTACAACACATATTTCCCTTTTATCCAATAAACATTGAATGTCTAGGAAGGTGGTGCTTAGTAGTGAACTCTAGATCCTAAGACCTCTCTCTTATTTTCTGCACTTTACTTAATTTAGTTGTTTCATATTGCTTTCACTTAGTTAAAATTATAGTTTAATCAACCAATCAAACCACCTTTTGAGCACTCGACCTACTAATCTGACCTTGTTTCCAAGCAAAAGTACACTTCCAATCCCTTGGGACGATCCCTACTCACCCTAACTATATTTTTAGTTAGAAGTGGTAGTGTGTGATACCCCCGGATTTCCGGATGCGGGTTGGCCAGGCCCACGCCTGATTACCCGAGGATATCAAACCAATTAACAATAAACGAACACAGAATACAATTAAGATAAACAGGAATAAATAAAACTGCTGAAAAGAAACTAAGAAGATAATCCAAAACTGAAACCTCAGAATAAAATTTTATAAATAAGAAATTATTCTGGTACATCCAACTTCTCCATTTTTAATATAACTCGGGAATCCATATGGTGGACCCCTAAAAACCAACACTGGAAAGCGAACAACCAAAAGAAGTCCAATGCTAAATCATGAAGAAACCTCCTACGTTGTCGGTAGAATGAGTAGTCGTCTCTGCTCAGCACGAACAAGCTCTAAGACCTGGAACCGTTCGTTACCTGAAAAATAATAGTGGGTCAGGCCCACGAACAAGTTCTATCCTAACTACAATCCAAACAGAGACCCAATACGTAGATACATCCTAGATGTCTCAACCATAACTATATAATCCTTAAATAGATATATATCCACACTACAAGACTCTCACTGGACTATGACGAGGGTCTCAACCTGAATAGAAGGCAACATGCAAAACGCACCTGAGTGGGCATGACTACCTAAGCCTAACAGGGTATACCTCAACCAGCATAGCCAGCTACGCATCCTACTGCATATACGTTCCCTAACCGACAATCCTGAGACTTAAGCTCATACCGCGGTACCATATATATATATTTAAAGTCCGATCTTATCCATCCATAAGAAATCCAGTTAGTCATTCAGCTTGTTCAGCCGCACAGACTAACATAAATTATATGTATACAAATTCCCTCCAAATAATATGTTGTGTCGTGATAAGCGCCAAATATTGCATATTCAAGTGCCCTTATTTGCATTAGTTAAGTCCATTAGTTGATAATAATGTATAGTTTAGCTTTAGTTGTTTGTTTTTGTTTATTTTCAGGTCGGTTCCCCCGAATGTAGCTAAATGAACGGTTTTGACAATCTTTTGAAGAATCAAAGTAAACCGTTGCTGGGGACTGTTACTTGAGCCAAGTTCCTTGAGCCATCATGTGTATGAATGTTGCGGCATTGTATTCAAAATGACGACCGCATCACTTGACCAACCAAGGAGGCTAAAGAGAAAGCTGAGAGCTTTTGGAAGTCAAGCCACCGCGAGCGCCCGCCGCTCCACCGCGGGAGCCTGCCAATTATCACAGTAGCAGGCCTTTCTTCGCGGGGCCCCGCAACTCTCGCGGGCCCACGCCGCGCACTCCCGCGGGCACCCTCCACCCCACCGCAGGCACCCGCCAAACCTGGCAGTAAGCCAACTCTGGATGCAAGCACCCGCGGGCGCCCGCCAATCTGCAAAGAGCAGCTTACCTGCTCCCGCTTTTGTGCTAATCCTTGTTCTCTCTGCATTTTATATGGTCCAAATGACCTCTAGGGTGGTTGGAGCTCATGATGGAGTGGATGGAAGTAGGTTTTTGCCTAGATAAGAGGGGGAAGGCTTGTATTGATCCATATCTCACATTTGGCTAAGTTCTAGAGAGAGAAAGAGTGAGTTTTGAGGGTTTTGGGTGTTCTTGAGCTTAAGGTGCGAAAATGGAGAGGGATTCTTCATCAATATCTTCATTCCTTGTTCTTATGGGTCACTAAATCCTTCTCTAGGGAGGTGATGAAGCCCTCCTTGTAAGCATGTTCTAGTTTTGATTCTATTTTCGGGTAATGATGTATAGTTTTGGTTTTTCCATGATCTAGAGCACCTTACTTATTGTAATGGATTTTAATGAATATAAATGATTATTTTGAGTTGATTATCTTGTCTTAGATGGTTTTTTCTCTTAATCATATTGCTTGCACTTTCATAGTGACAATGGAAATGAGATCATGGAATGGTTTTATTGGCATGAAGATGGAGAACCTTGATAGTCCATGGCTTAGGTTCCCCCTTTGATAGTCTATGCTTGATTCCTAGCTTTATATGCATTCATTATTAAATTAATGGCTTGATAATCTTTGACTTAGTGAGCATGTTTAAGGCTACACTTTAGTTTAGGTAGTTTAATCATGTGGACCTTTGATAGGTTATTCTTGCCCTTTTGATTTAATGAACTTCTTGAAGATATTATAGTAACCAAGTGTTGCTACATATCATGACCATCATATATGTAACTCTTGTAGTTTAATTGTTTCACTTCTTTGCATGATTGTGATAGCCCTTGTTGAGGCTCATTATATTGCTTAAATTTTAAGTCCAAGCATCGGCCCATGTGGAGGCCAATATTTTCTTGCATTTGGATTTTAATTGTGAATGGAGGAATTGTTTGATCTAACTTTAAGGAGAAATTACATCCCTTCACCTTATGTCCCTCCATCATATTTTAATCCTTATGAGATTAAGTTTAATGTTTAGCATGCATCATTTTCTTATGGACTTGATCACTCTTTTGATCCTCCTTATGACTATTACCCTCCCCCACCATTTTATGAAGAATCACCCCCATCACCTTATTCACCCGAGTTGCAAGAAAAAGTGTTAGCTTTACTTGATGGGCTTAATTCACAAACTTAAGATATTAATTCTCATTCTCAAATCTTAGCCAAGCTTGAAGCTCAAGTTAAGCAAATTGCAAGTACTCTTTCTCGTCAAGATGTTTTTCCCCAAATTAGTTTTAATCTAGCATGTGAATAAGGTTGGAAGTGGATTCATCTCCCTAGTCCTTTCTCTTTATTTTTCTATCTCTTACTTCCTAGCACAATATTGTTTTATGCATTGTTCAATTCTTAATTTTCGTGACAAACCAACAAACCTCTTTACACCCCTTTCATCAATCTAAAAGTGGTTCTAAGTATCTTAGTTGCCATAACCTTGCAGTCCCAGTGGTTCGACTTACCCGACCAATAACCCTATTTTACAATGATTTGTCCTATTGCAAAGGTTGATGTATAATTGTCACACCGATCATGTCGGTCAACTATTCGTTCAGTCTATGACTTTGCCTCCTGGTTAGTAATCTGAGGTGGTGGTGGATGAGGGTTGCTAGGTTGAGGGTCAGTGATGTGATGTGGTAGAGTAGAAATATGTAATGGTTGTGCCTTGGACCGAGGTGAGTTTGGCTGTAGGCTAAATGTAGGTTGTAAGGTAGGAGATGGGATGTGGTTGGTGGGGAGGTTGCCAGTGGTTACCTCTGTTGGAGTGGTGTGTGGGACAAGAGGTAAGGCTGACTGTAAAGGCACATGTCTTGAAATTTTGACTGTTTCATTTGAATTCAAATTCAAATTAGAGTCCAAACCTGGGTCCACATTGGTTGTCAGGTCGCCGGAGGTGGTGGTTGTTGGTGGATGTTGGTGGCTGTTCTGCCTCTTGAGTTCAGCAATCTCAGCTTATAGCTTTGAAATTGTGTTCATGTAGCTTTGGTGATTGATTGATGAAGCCTTCTGGATTTTGAGTTGAGCTATTTCTTCCCTTAATTCTGAGATTATCTTGTTCTCCTCCTTGAACATGTCCAGTGCTTTGCCCAAATTCTCATCCTTCCATTGTAGTTGTTCCGTGAGCCGATCAATCTGGTGTGCTGGGGAGCTATAAAGTAGTGGATTGAAGTTCCTGATTTGCTGAGTCTGCGAACTTGTAGGTTGTAGATGATCTGGAGTGGTATCATGCGAGTGAGGTGAGTGATCCTTTGGTGAGGTAGAGGGAGTGATTGTGTTGCTTATGCTTCGGATAGGTTTAATGGTGGGTGATGGGAATGCTTTCCCATTGAGGGAGGGTGGTAGTGGAGGGGGGTAGACTTGTGTAAGTAAGGTTGTTGATGCTGTTGATGTTGATGGTTTTGTTGGTTTGGGGATGGTTGGGGGTGCTGGTTTCTTTGGAGTTATTTTTAGTGCAGTGTCTTGTATTAGAGCTGTAGGTGGGTTGGTTTGTTTGCGTATAGGGGTGAATGGTGGCTTTAGATGGTTAGGAATTGGGTTATTTATTGAGGGAGGTTGCTGGTGGCTGAGAGTACTTTGGTTTTGTGGTCTAGTGAGGATAGTCTTTTGTTGGTAGAGAGTATGAGGCTGCTGTGGTAATTTGTTTTTCTTCTGCTTGATCAGGGGTTGTGGCTGAGGTTGATGATGCCTGAGATGCTGCTGATGCACTTGGTGTTCCTGAAGATCATGGCGAAGCTGGTTGGGAGGAGGAGGCTTACCAAGAGGAGGTTTCATGGCAGAGAGGAGTTATACATATATAGATATGGCGATTGTGAGTTGTGATGAATTACTATCTTATTTGAGAATTCGGATTCTTTCATGTGCACAAGGTTGGGTCGAGAACAATCACGTTAAATGTGGTTTACTATGTCGACTTCATTTCATATGGAATGATATTCACCCTTTTCTTGTACTCAAGACAGAATGGTGCAGAGAATATGGTATAAATTCCTTGTTTGATGGGCAGCATTAAAACACCCAGAAAGAGAGGAATAATAATAATAATAATAATAATAATAATAATAACAAATTACTTCAAACTTTACATTTTCAAGGTTTATTATTACATGAATCTTTAGTTACTTTCTATTTATTTTTCTCTTTTGAATTTCTTTTCCTTCACTGGCCCTCTTGGAATCTTGTTAAGAATTCTGGAATCCAATCTTTTGTACAATTTCTTCATGTCTCGATTCCCTTTTCTTGCAAGAATTTCCACCTCCTTTTCGTACCTCTCGAACAGTACTGGTAATGTTTCCAAGCAGAGAAAGCCTTCACGACCAAAAAATTTGAAAAGTGGCCATGTTAGGTTCAATCAAGAAAAAGGTTAAAAACACCACACACACACACACACACATATATATACATACATACATGTATGAAAATTTAGGAAATCTTACCAATGTATAACAGATTCAAGGAGCTGAAATAATTTCCAATGACTGATAATATCCAGAGGAAAGCAATTGTCTGAAAAGCCAATATGTAGAAAAAATGTAACACAATATTTATTTTTTTTATTTTTATTTTTCTTTATTTTTTTTATGAAATTGAAATATGAAGCTATGGATGGGGGAGAAATTCAGATATATATACCACAAAGAAATGTGTCAAATCTTTCCCACGTGATATGTCAAAGAATTTCAACAATAACCCGTTAATTTTCGCGAATAACCATCTGAATGTGGATTCTGGGACTCTGATGTGGTGAATATCAGGTGGATTCCTGAAGATGAAGAAGAGTTTAGTTAGAGTGGAAGGAAATGAATGTAAATTTTCCGACGTAGCAATGACTATTTTGGACACTGTTTGGAACGTCACAAGGCCAAACGGATATGTTTGAACACATTTAGTACTAAGGGTCTCATATTCAAAAAAAAAAAAATTACCGATTGATGAGGCCAGCACCATGAGACCAGACGAAAACAATGAGCATCGTGAGGATGGAAATGTGACACACAAGAGAAACAAAGTTGTACTCCACAACTTCGAAAAGAAACCATATAATTGTGAACCCAGCTAGAATTGCAGCCGACAATTGGTTGTTTTTCCATAATAGTACATCAGCAACTGCAAATCGGATCAAATGTAAGTGAAAAAAATATGTAGTACTCATAGTTGGTGGCGGTGGTGGATTGAAATGGAAAAATATTACCTTTTCCTCCTCCGAGGATAGCGTGCAGAGGCCTCTCGCGATGAAATAGTTTTACCTGAGCTACGTGTTGGTCGTCGGAGTCGGATGAATAGATTGGCATGGCTATGGTGGTTCTAGATGTGGTGCAGCTTTCTGCACAGTAAATTATATAGGGAGGGTTGTGGTTCTAAGCTTGGTGGTGAAGAAATATAGGATAGGGAAGGAAGGGATGGCTTTGGCATGGTTTGGAAGATTGCTTCACGTGCCCAAATTTTATGTCAAGTAAGTGGTTACTTGTTTATCCATGCAGTTCATCCTTTCCTTCAATCTCAAATATATTGGACACATTTTATTAGATTATATATATTGAGATTGGTACACATTTTATAGGTTACATTGAGATTGATACACATTTTAGTAATAATTAACAAGAATGATACACTTTATTTGAAGACTAGTTTAAGTAATATCATATTTTTGTTCTCTTTATTTTTATTAAAAATCAATAATAAAAATCCTAATCCCACCTCCCGTTTCACAACATATCCATATCACAATGCTACAAAGGATTAAAATCCTCTCCGGCGCAACAGTATATCTATTCCACCCGGTGAGAAGAAAGTTGGAATGCATCTTAGGAAAATATTGAAATACAAGGCCAAACGTCACAATATTTTTCTAAGGTGTATCCCAACTTATCCTCACCAGCTGGGACAAATGCATTGTTGCGCTGGAGAGGATTTTTATCCATGCTATAGAGCCACAAAATGAGTAAAGTTGTTAACTTTGAGAAGACCAATAAGACCACAGCCCACAATGTACACATAAATAACAAGAAAGCTTGCTGGTCTAAAGATTAATTCGGGCCCAACCCATCCGTCGTTCGTCGCATCAGATTGTGAAGGCCCAAGCCCAAAATTTCCAATTACCTTGCGCCCCAAATGATGTATGTCAACAAAACTTGTCTTTATGCTATGTTTGGAGCACTAATATGGTGTCTTGAATTTAAAATCAAAAAAAAATTAGTTTTTCAATTTAGTTTAATTGAATCTTTCTTATTTAACTAAATTTCTTTCGATTTTAAATTTAAGATAACAATGAGTGCTTCCGATTTCAAATTTAAGACAGCACTTAGTACTTCCAATCGTAACGTAACTTCGTGTCATTCTAACTAAAGATTTCATTGTGTTGGGATGGTTAGACTCTCCATTATTCGAAATACTATTCATCCTAAGTTGCCTATGTAGCTAGGCATGATTTCATTTCTCATCATTGTTATCCGGATCGATGATTAAAATTCAAAACTATATTGTATGCTCTTTCCAGCACTTAGTGAATATCTGAATCCAATGTTAATTATGATTTGTAATTGTCCAAAGCGGATGTTAAAGTAAAACCCACTTCAACAAAAGCAATCCTTTGTTGAAAAGGGCAATGGTAGATCGCATTTGCTGTCGAATTAATCTCAGTGATCTTCGATTAGTGAAATACAGATTTTCTATTTATATTATTCTAAATATATGATATTACTATATGTAAATCAAAGTGGGGCATTTTTTGGCCTTTACCCAAGATAAAATCTTTGACCATTGACCAGCAAATGAGGTTATGATTGATTTTTGACAATTGAGCAATTGTATCATTTCAAAACCACTGTGGATCCAAGAAAAGTGATTGTAATGCCAATGTTAAGAGGAGAGAGAGAGAGAGCCACTCCTTGCTAATAAGTCATTATCAGATGAAATGCCTGGGGACAATAGATCTAATCCAGCTGATTAGAGTTGGAGAAAGCTGTCATATATGGAGAATAGTTTCACTATGAGCCCACTTTTATGATAGACCCACTCTGAAATTTAACTTAACTTTAATTTTTAGCAAATTTCTGTAATTGTGTTTGATAGTGTGGAATTAGACTTTTAAAATTAGAATTTGAAGAATTGAAAAATCAATTCATATAATTAAACTAAATTTTTTTACAATTATATCAATTCTAGTTACAAAATTTTAATTTTTTGCAACCAAACACGGTCTGAATTTTTTTTTTTTTTTTCATTTTTGAAAAAGCATATGATCAAATCGTTTCTAAATATTTAGAGAAACATATTTATATATGTGTGTGTATATATATATAATTCAGGATTTATTTTTTATTTTTTTATTTTTCAAAATTTACACATAATTAAGGATTGCATGGAGCATGGCATGCAATGAACATCACATCACATCACCGAAAGTACACTACTATTTTGGTTGGAGAATGGATAGGTTAGGGGTACGACCCCCACCCATAGGGCTCCGCGTGTGATTCTATATTCTTTTCTTCTTTTTTTTCTTTTTTGTTTTGTTTTTTTTCAAGGCAAACAATGAAACAACCAGATATACACACCAACAGAACTAAGAAACAAAAGTGTAATCATTATAGGCCTCCGCGTGTGATTCTATATTCATTATGGGGTTTTTTTGTCACATTCCTCAATATTTACTTTTTCACAATTTTTCTTTTCTTTTCTTTTCTTTTCTTTTCTTTTCTTTTACTCTATTTTTCCTTCCAATCCAAATGTATTATACTTCACCAATTTTTTTATCAAACTGAACCATTGAATTTAAAATTGAAATAAATTTAGTTCAAATTCTATACTAATATTTACATTTAAATAGATTTAGGAGTATTATATAACAAATCACTCTATTTTTAAAGTTAGTTTTTCATTGTGGTCGAGTTAAGTAAAATAATTACATATACATTAAAAACTATTATTTATATCCAAAATATCATCCAAACTCGTATTTCAAAATACTAAAATATCCTTCCTAAATCAAATAATTCTTTCATTCATAAAATTTAGAAAAACAAGATTTATTAGCTGACTTTCAATTTGGCATTTCTGCATATGATGTATATATTACCAAAATAAATAAAATAAAAAACAACATATATAATTATATATATTATATAAAATTTGTGCAAAAAACTTTAACGATATTTCCAACTCCATATCGGTTCAAACCTGCAAATATCAATTTACAAACATACAAATAATTTAATAGAAATTAATTATGTATAGAATTTATTTTTTTCAGTAAGTGGAAATTCATTATATATATATATATATATACACACATACAGTACACACGCACTAGAAAGGTAAAGCATGAAAAAACTAAATGGTTACTTCAGTAAATGGTATACCAGCAATCATTTTTTATTTAAAAAACAAGTGTAATTAATTGAGCCAAAAAATTGATAATCATCTCAAGGCATACAACACTGCAAAGACGATTTATATATTCTTGAGTTTAATTATATTTTTCTTTTTGGGGACTAACCTTTGATTGCCCTACTTTTTACTCTATTTAATCTTTTTTATTAGTTGTATAAGTTATCGTGTATGTATATATGAAAGTTGCAGCAATATGGTTCAAGGTCAAAGAAAATAAATTATTTAAAGAAAATACTTGATTTTAGGAGAATAATTTTTAGTATTTTGGAATAAGTATTTGGAGGGTATTTTGGACCTAAACAACAGTTATTGATGCCTATGTAATTATTTTACTTAATTCAACTAAAATGAAAAATGAACTTTTAAAATAGATCATTTTATTATTTAAAACTACTAACTGTGTGTAAGTGTAATTTTTCCATTTCAATTTTCTCAAATGCAATATTATTATTTTTAAACCGAATTAAGAAGCCAAATGAGAACCGAAAAGCAACTATTGGGCTCTCTCCCCTTTGGCCCTTTGTATGTGTGTGTGAAAATAGAGTGATGTAATTGTGAAATGATAAAAGTAATACTAGGGTGTCTAATGCTCCAAAACAAGTAGGAGCAATTAATAGATAACAAAAGTAAGAAAAAGAAACCAAAGCGGCAAGAAGGCGTGACAACCTCTTGACCCCACTAACTTTAGTAATTGATTCATTCGGTGGAATATATTAATAAATAAATAAATAAAAACTTTTCCCAATCATTTGGTAAAACCAAGTAAAAAACATTTCCTTACTTCAAAGGTAAAAATTCCCATGCAATTCACCTTGTGCTTTGTTGGCACTTTAATTCTTCCCCATCTCTCAGTATAAATTGTGACAAGAGCTTCCACAAAAATCACACATCTCTCTCTGTATTGAGTAAAGGTTAAAAAAAAACTTGCAAAGATGAAAATGTCATACATAGCAGTAGTAGTTTGTGCTATGGTTGTGTTGCTTCTTGGTGGAGCTGAGGTGTGTATGGCAGTGACTTGCAACCCGACGGAGCTGAGCCCGTGCGCGGCTGCCATCACATCGTCGAACCCTCCCACGGCCACCTGCTGCAGCAAGTTAAAGGAACAGAGGCCATGCCTGTGCCAGTATGTCAAGAACCCTAATCTCCAGAAGTTTGTCAACTCTCCCAATGCTAGGAAGGTGGCTACCACTTGTGGCTCTCCGTTCCCTAATTGTTAGACTACTCCTTATATTGCGCGTCTACACAGTTAGGGGTGTCTACACGTACAAGTCCTAGCAACGTCTTCTGCCCCGATGATGTGAGACGTAACAATTATCTGCTACTTGGCTAGTTGTTCTTTCGTATGAGATTTATCGATCTTATATTATACTATAATCTATATAGAGTGTGGACTTAATTAGTGGTAAATGGGGGACTAGTATTGGTTATAATGTTCTTGTTGAGTCATATATAGAGTTATTGTGGGAATTAATGGCTTTTGCTAGCTTGTGTATTTCTGTTTGCTGCTTGTAAAATGTTTACGTGTGCTGCATGTAATGAGAATAAATTTCAATATTCAATATGTTTTCTTTTATCAATTTGGTGGGTGATTCAAGCAATTTATGATCAGACTTGATTGATTAAGGCCGTGTTTGGTACAATGAAAAACAAAATAAGGTAATATCATCAAAGAAAAGAAAATAAAGGAAAAGAGATGATAGAATAGTGTTATCGTGTTTAATTAATTAATGAAGAAAAAAAGGGGGGAAAAATGGAAAAAAAAAAAAATCATTTCTGTTACTCTCTCATTGAACGTCGTCAAGTGAGCATCTAACGGTGGTAATTAACGCCACCTACCCAACATATTCTTGTCATCGCCAAATCAGCAAATGATTAAAGAAATTTACTCAATTACAATTTGTTTTACCATATGTACCTTTTGAATAACCACTTTATACGTTATACCTTATACAATATATTACTAAAATTATATTATTATACCATTCAACTTTACCTTTTGAATGAAATTAAAATACATTTTTTTTAACTCTGGTAAGTTTTCTTTATTATTTTGTTCTTCCCTCTAACTTGTATATCATTTGTTTTTCTTCAACCCCAAATCTTATCAAAAGCCGAAGAATTGTTCGTATCAAAGATAAAGATTCACAAACTCACCTTTTGATCAAAATAAAATTTTCATTTTTTAATTGTTCTTTTGATCTGCATCGTTTTCTATAATTATTTTTTTGTTATGCATCTGGGTTTTTCAATGTTCAAATTTCAATCAATTAAGCCCATGAAGTAAAAGTCAAATTCATTAAATAATAGATATGTTGTTTATGTTTGCTAAATATGAATTTAACTTAAATTAATGTCAAGTCAGTTTTTTTACCCCCTCACTAGACCAATCCAGTATAAGCGTAACGGAGAGAGAATTTTTTCCTGGAAAAATGATGGTAGTAACTATTTTTAGAGAAAGAAAAGAAAGCAAAAAATTTTAATGAGTTTGCTATTATACCCATTTTTCATAAATATTATCTTTATAAAAATACTAAAAGAGTTTTATTAAAAATGCTATCTTTTCTTTCTATTTCCATTTTTAAAAAGAGAACAAAACAACTCATCAAACTTTTAATGTATCCCTCCAAATTTTTCCATTCCCTTTCTTTTTATTTCAAAGTTTTTTTTATACCTAATACAAAAAAACATATCCCTCTATTTATTTATTTTTTTCTTTTCCTTTCATTTCTTTCCAGGGTAAGAGTGGGTATGTATAGGTGGCGAGATTTGGAATAAAAGGAAAGATAAGGAAATGAGAGACAACTTGTCCTATGCTTGATTGACCACGATGAATGAAAAGATGAGAAAAATGTGGGACTAAGAAAGGGTTGGTAGCCCCCAGGGGTTTGGCCTTGCAGTAAGGAGAGGGTTTTGATTCTAATAAATCTAGGGTTAGACCCCAACACTCTTATTATAGTTCTGACTAATTTAGTAACGTAGTTGTAAAGTCGGCTCCACTATTTTCAATTTGTTACCTTAGGGTGGATTTAAAGGGTCTGCCCAAGTGAGTTCTAGATATCAAAATAAATAAATAAATAAATAAGGATCGGTACCTTAACAGTGGTTTTACTATTTTCTCTAATGTGAAGGAATAGGAGGGAAATAATTACTATTTCTTTAATTTTTTAATTTAGCAGCTTTCTGTCTTTTCTTTCTGTCCTTTTCCTTGTTATATCCATTTAACCCCCGACTCCCACGTGAAAAATACATAAGAAAATTCAAAAAATAAAAAAGGAAAAAAGAAAATTTGAGGCCAAGTTTGCTCTTAAATCAAAGTGCAATATATATATACGGACTCAAGTCTAATGTACGTCCACCGGTCCACGTCCAGCTACCTTAATATGACTTTTGCTGGAAAGTGACCCTAACCAAGATCTTCAAAATAGTTTTTACTTAATTGACTAAATAACCAGAGAGATTAGAGGAAGAAAATTTTCCAATTTTTATAATATTACTTTGAAATTTATTAATTCAAAAAATATTATATTACTATTTTAATAATTTTAAATGAATATTAAAACCACAATGATAATGAAACATTACCAAAAAATAAAATAAAATAAAATAAAATAAAAGGGAAGAAGAGAAATGCCTCATATTATTACTAATCTAGTTTGATTCAACTCCATCCAATTACCAAACATGGCCAATGTTTCTTAATTTCCATATAAAAGCTACTAATTAATTGCAGGTATGATGCTGTAACCCTTAACCTTGTGCAATTGTACTCAAATAAATGATTTCCATTTATTATTATTATATATTTATTTATTTATTTTCAAGGCTAGAATGTTAGAATTTAGTTGTTAGAGGAGAAGGATAGAGTGCAAGACTCCAACACAGACTCCCAGACACGAAGAAGAGCAATTCCATTTATCATTTGAAAGGATTTGAAAGTAGTATAGAAATCAAGGCTAATCTGTTATTTGAATAGATGAAGTTTCAACCCTTGCTTTTTGTTGAAGAAGCAGAGTGATGGGTAGAACTCAAGGACTTGATTAAGTTTTCTGATAACAGCTTTTAAAAACTTTCAAAACAAAGAACATCTCTCAAAAGCTCCAAAATTTCAGAAAGTTCTGAACCAAACAAAATTTCAAACTATATCAATTTTTCAACTTTTGTTTTTCAGAAATTTGAACTAAACAAGCCAAAAGTTTTTGCCCTCTCAGCACATCATCCAAATCCTATGAAGAGTGTAGAGCATAAATGGGGATATTTTACAATCCTTTCATTGCACTTGATAGGAAAGATATTGACTAAAACACATTAATTAAAAAGCTCTGCTTTAAGTTGGTACATGTAACAAGAAAATGACATAAATACAATACCAAGGTAAAAAAAAAGGAAAATAAAAATGGCAAAGGAGGTAGACAAACATAGTGATACTTTTTTCCCAACACAAGTCATTTACCTACTTTACCTACACTACACAGCTCAATAATATGACTTCTCATTTCTCACAATTTTATCAACAAGTCACCAAAACTGTGTTCACTAACCCCCATATATATATGATTAAACCTTCTCAAATTCACCGGTTCTTTGATGGTGCTGGTCCTCTGAAAAATTAGAAGTCGTCATGCCAAGTCCTTCATTGTGGTGCTTTTCCCATCCACCGGTATCAGCCCTAGAATGGGCCCAATAATATAGGATAGACCCAAACATCGATAACAATGCCAATGCAGCCCCAGCACCAAACACGCCTTTCCGGAGAGTGGAGCATGATAACTCCATCCCACCAAAGATTCCTCGGTACTTGGTGTGGTATGCATTCTTCGCTGACCCTGCCAATAAGCACGCCTCTGCCCCCAAGAAGCTTACCCTGCTCATTCATTTACAAGTTACTTAAGAAAAATGATAAACAATGTACGTTGTTAAACGGTAGCAAATGAGCCTATAACTTATTTCTAGGTACTGCAGGTTTAACAAGTTAAAGCTTAATTGGCTTCAATTCGGGTTAAATTGTACCAGGAACAGTTGAACCATATGTGCAACTGATGTAACATAACACCAAAATATTACTCATCTGAATAAGAAATGCCGGGAGTAGATATTGCTGGCATGAATTATGATTTTGGAATTCGTTGTGGACTTGTAAACCATTAAATTTTATCATGAGAGTATATTCAACACACCAAGAAATGCTTGATTACATGACTGATTATTCAACCAGCTCGGGTACAAGCTGAACTCATTTAAACGTCCAAGAACCAAACATAAGCATGCAGGCCACTTAATTGAATGCATTTTAACAACTTCTCAACTGAAAAATTCATGCAAACCAAACTTAATTATAAAACTCGAATATCCAAGCCTGCTATCTTGTTTGAGCACCAAGAAACCAATTATTTACCATTATGGCGAGAAACAAATCATGTGAAAAGAGTCGCATACACCCTCTCCTTTAGAGAAGATAAATCACCAGCTATTGCCTAAGCCAACTTGACATTGTGAAGTAATGCAAAAGACTTCATAACTAGTTTCACCAAATAAAATGCTGCTTATCACATCTTTATATACACATACATTACAATTAAAATGCTGCTCTCTCTAATCAATCTAATAATATGATTTTTTTGTCTAGAAATCATGTGAGGAGTCATATATATACCCTTTTACAAAAGATAAATCACCAACTATTACCTAAGTCCAAATCCCAAGCCTAATAAAGGAACTAAAGCAATCCAACTAAGGGACAATAGTTCTTTAGTTAAACAATTCTTCACCCAAAATCTAATGATGCAAACACTTCAATGAGATAGAAGAAAATTCATTCAAAAGGGAAATGTTGGTACAAAATCTCTCTTCTTCTTTTTTCAAAATTTTTTTTTTTTTTTCTACTTAAATTGAAATGACATTGTCTAATTAGGTGCTTCAAATGGATCAGAAAGCAACAAAATGCTACACTAACAGGATGCATTTTCTATAAACAACCCAAAAAGACGGAAGATATAAGCAATAATGATAGCCTCATCCTATCAAGAACAGCATAAGTTCCATGCCAAAGTAGATGTTATCAAAAACATAGCTGTGTAATCAAATACACCGATGCAGTTTGAGACTTAAAAATTATTCCCTCTACTTAACTTGTAATAAGTTCAAGGAAATAAAAAAACACAAAAGGTGTGAAATTGTTTAGAAAAGAAAAATGAAGTAATGATAAGATAAAACTTTCCCGCTAAAAGAAACTTGTATTGATATTTGGTAATAAATACAATACCCGAAGCATAATTAATTCACTAAAAGAAACAAATTACTAATATAATGAGATAGGGAGCCTCTTCTCCCACTGGGGACCTTAGGCAACAACCGCCTTAATTGCTTTATGGTTGAGACACCCCTGACAACATATTGATTTGAAATATGTTTAAGAGACCGAAATTAAAGGCCAATTGAAATTTTGAATTCAATTAGTTAATCAAGTGTGATTGCAAGCCAGTAGGATCCAATTAACTTAACTAATGCATAAAAAACATTTTTAAATTAGTCGAAACTCACTCGAACCACAGCTACTCAATCAAAGTGATTAGCATCCTTCTTCCAAATAACATCAAACTAATTTACTATAGAATTAAGTTTGGAGGGTTGGTCATTCAAATATACAATGCCAAATAATAATAATAGAATAACAGTGATGTAGATCAGTTGGTCCAAAATTTATAATGTTTAATTATAGCAAAGGACCACATTACACCGGTATGTCACGTGTGCATTATTGCGAATTCATTATTTCCTCCATGAGAGCTGACTAAATTAGCCCAAAACTGAACCCTATATATATATATATATGTGCATACGCAGAGTATCGACATGATTAATTATGATGATGTAACGATCCGAACCGTTTGAGCAGAAGAAAGTACTAGTAATTGACAACTGAGACATGCTAACAAATGGACGGTAAAATAATGATATTGAACGAAAATAAAAGATTGGGGAGAGGATAAATTAGTAAATTTACCAGGAGAAGATGAAGAAGAAGATGGCACAAGTGGTGTAAGTCCGACCCATAAGCCCTTTGCCGAAGCAGAGACATTTGGTAACGCCGTTAACCAGCGTCTGGCTGATTAGCAACAGCCCGAAAGCCGTCAGTCCGTACGCCGTTGACGCGTCGGAACCGTATACACAGTAGGTACGCTCATCGTATTTGTCCGGTACCACTTTAGCCTTCAAACAAAAATTCCATAGAAAACCAAATTAGACAACATGTAATAAAATCACAGAGAATAAGTGTGTGACTGTGTGTAATTAGAAAGATACCGTGCTTCGTCGACGTTCGGCGCCGACGGCGAGGACGAAGGCGATTAGGTGAAGAGAAGTGACGATGGCCAAAATGGAGACAGAGACCGCCATTATCGCCTCCCTCTCTCTCTCTAACTTTCTCTCTCTACTCTTTGTTTTTTTTTCTCACTGTATCTGTCCACTCACTCACTCACTCACTCACACTCGATCTGCTTTTGACAAACGGGTCTTATGGCTTTTGGGCGGGTTCTCACTTTGAAGGCTTTGTTTGGGAGGCGTGTTTTGTTTTTTTTTTAACTTTTTGGATGTTTGCTTGTGTGCGGTGATTTGTTTGGATTTTTAGGGATGATTCATCATCATAAAGAAAATGTGGGACCCGATTTTCATTACCAGTTTTTGATTGACAATTGATTTTTGAACAAGATATAGCTGGACTTGGGTTGGCCTGTCAGGGTGCCGGTTTCCCGGTTGTTTTGACCGGCTATTGAAGGTCACTTGCTGTCCTGTTTGTTGCCCAAGGAAAAAGAGGAAAGAAAAGAAAAGAAAAAGAAAAAGAAAAAGAAAAGAAAGCAATAGAGAAGGCCAGAGGACACAGCAAGGCCCAAAACTACAATGACACCATGCTGCACCTGCAAGTCCATTTCACTATACAAGCATGAGAAGACCATTTTGCAACAAATGGGCCCCAATTATTCACCAAATTCTAAAAAACCCTTTCCACCGCTTCTTTCCTATCCAATCCAACAAGATAAAAGTTGGAAAGCTAAAAATGTGTTCACATATACTGTGTATGATTTTTCATAAGCTCAATATATATAGTCGCTTATATATAATTGAGGAGGCCCCGGATGACATGGGCCAGGTCCGACTCGCAAAACACAACCTTCAGTCCGAACAGCTGGGTCAGCCCATAGAAAGACACTGCCATATGGGCCGAGCGGGAGTAAGCCCATCAAGGGTGACCAGGGCTTACAGAGGAATAGGCCCAGGTCCAGCAATTAGTAAATATCTTGTAAATATCTTGTAAATATCTTGTAAGTATCTATAAATAGGAGTTGGAATGAAGAGGAGGGGGATCTTTTTGGGGGTTGAGGTGTAAGAATTCTAGAGAGAGAAAGAATAGAAGGAGTTTCTTGCATCTTCAATTGGCGCCGTCTGTGGGAAACGCATGAAAGTTTGGTTGATCAATGAGGAGTATCGAATGGATTCAAACCAATTCGGTTGATCGAGACTCGATCTTGCGGATTTGAATCCAGATCTGAGCGATTGTGACCTACTCTGGAGGAATTACGATTCTTGAAGCTTTGGCAGGAGTGACTTCAGATCTACGCAACCACGAGTTGCTCGATTGTGGCAGGATCTGACGGATTTAGAGTTCAGACAATTCAGATCTTGTAAACAGTGAGCATAATTCGGAGAATTAGAAGCCAGATCTAAAAATTCCTACTCACGAAGCTCAGATCTACTCGCGAACTTGAGATTAATGCCTTTACTCCGTTCGGGAATAATGATAGGTGAAAGCTCCAATCCGATGGAGGCTGTCCAGCAAACAAAGCTTGAAGAGTTGATGAACTTGATTGAAGCTCTCAGAAAAGAAAATGCAGAATTGAAAGCTGGACTGCAGCATCGGCAAATACCCGCAGTTTCGCATCCGCTTCCGGTCGGAGAAGGAGGTGTTCCATCTAGTATCGCGCATCAAGGCGATCAGAACGAGAACAATCAGTCAGCTCACCACCGTGATGAAAGGATGATGGACAATTTGCCGCCTAATGTTCGTCGAGTTGAAGATCACGAAGGCTCGACTCACGTTGATCCGCAGCGGGAAAGGTTTGACCGAGAGGAAGTGATGGAGGTAGATCGCCGTCGAGTAGCGTCGCCTTGGCAGAGAGAGTTCATAGAGGAACGGTCGTTCGATCCGTCTTACCGGCCCTCCATGGTTACTGTCACTCATCACGGTTCGGAGGGCAGAACCGTAACTCACAGAGCTACCGCTGGACTCCAAAGAGAGAATGAAGCTCTCCGATCCGCAGCTCGGACGGTGGATTCACCATTCACCGACGAGATCTTGAATGCGCCGCATCCAAGGAAGTTTGCTATGCCAGTCTTTATTCTGTTTGACGGAACAACCGATCCGATCTATCATGTGTATCATATCCAGTTGAAAATGGCCCTGAATACGGAAAACGACTCTTTAATGTGCAAATGCTTCCCTACAAGCCTGGCCGGACCGGCGCTCAGCTGGTTCAAAAACTTGCCTAGGAGCTCCATTGGCAGTTTCAGGGACCTGTGCGATCGGTTCATAAGCCAGTACTATGGGAACAAACGCCCGCCGAAGGACATCTCGAGCCTGTTCACGATGCGGCAACACAAGGACGAACGGCTCCAGGCCTTTCTTACCAGGTTTAATCTCACTAAGAGTATGGTAATCGAATGTCATCCCTCTACGGCAGTTCAAGCCTTCAAGTTAGCCATGACACGCGGAACTCCGTTTCACACCAGTCTGGTAGTGAATACGCCAGCTACCATGGATGAACTCAATGAGAGAGCCGATGGCTTTGTGCGCCTCGAAGAAGAGGAGGCAGCTAATGCTCGGACAACGTCGCTTGTGTCGACCGAGGAAAAGTCCAAGGCAAAGATCAGGCAGAAGCAGGCTCAGCCGCAACGTCAGACCACTTGGAAGGCCGAAAAAAGGTCCAGGGAGGAAGAGTTGATTACTCCGCTGAAGGTCACTCTGGCGAGGTTGTATCAGGAGAACAAGGACAAGTTTCATCCACCACTGCCAATTAGACAACCCCTCGAACAGAGGGATCAAACTAAACATTGTGCTTTTCATTCTGATTTCGGACATCAGACTAACGAATGCAGGAACCTGAGGAGGCAAGTGGAGATGTTGATAGCTAGAGGGGAGTTTGCGAGTTATGTTCAAGGCTCGGTGATGGAGCAGAATCGACCAGTGGAACAAATAAAAAGGAGTCATAAACAAAGCTCCCACAATTCGCAACCAGTTCGTATAATCAATGCTATCCATGGTCGACCCGAGCCTAGTGAAGAGCCAGATGAGCTGCTACGGGTGCGCCTGCGGCAGGCGCAGATGAAGAAAAGGGTCGGCAATGTGACCACTCTACACCAACAGAGCCCGTCAATGCAGATAAAGTTCGACTGGACAGACCTGCAGCGTGTTCAACTGCCTCATGACGACCCGTTGGTAGTCAGTTTGACAGTGGCAGATTGCTTGGTGCGCAGAGTTCTGATCGATCCTGGGAGCAGTGCGAATGTTATGCCGAGGGACACATTTGACAGGCTCGACATTAAACCAGAGAGGCTCAAGCCCACCGGAAATCCCTTATTAGGGTTCGATGGGAAGAGGGTGGAACCCGTCGGGATGGTGGAAGTAGAAGTTCAAGCTGCAGAGCGAGCTCTTATGGAAACTTTTATGGTTGTGGAAATTCACCCCTCGTATAATCTCCTGATGGGAAGAGGATGGATTCACAGAGTCCGAGGTGTACCCTCAACTCTGCATCAGGTCATGAGGTGCCTCGGGCCCGATGGAGATAAAGTGATAGACATTCGGGGGGATCAGGTCGCAGCCAAAGAGTGTTATTCCGTCACACTAAAGCATGCTGGGAAAGGAAAGGCGCCCGTCCGGTCGACAAGCCCCAGATAGCAATTACAGGAACCTCCACTCGAGCAGAATAGGGTGGAGGAGTCAGCCGACTTGACCGAGGAGCCCCTTCTGGATGTGCAGATCGATCAGTCCAGGCCAGAACGAACTACCAGAGTGGGTATAAGACTGACCAGAGAAGAGCAGCAAGAGCTAGTGGATTTCTTGTCCCACAATGTCGACGTATTTGCATGGAGTCACCTCGACATGCCTGGAATTAGTCCTTCCGTATCCTGTCATTCCCTGAATGTCAATCCTAATTTCAAACCAGTGAAACAGAAGCAGCGAAGATTTGCTCCAGAACGTAATCAGATCATAACGGAAGAAGTCAATAGGCTGCTTGATGCGGGATTTATCAGAGAGGTGCACTACCCTGAGTGGTTGTCCAACGTCGTTGTGGTGCAGAAGAAAAATGGGAAATGGCGAGTATGCATTGATTTCACCAATTTGAACGAAGCCTGTCCGAAGGACAGCTTCCCGTTGCCTAAGATTGATCAAATGGTGGATGCCACCACCGGGTATGAGCGTTTAACCTTTCTGGACGCATATTCAGGTTATAATCAGATTCCTATGGACCCCGCAGATGAAGAAAAAACTTCTTTTGTCACCGAGCGAGGAACATACTGCTACAAAGTTATGCCTTTTGGATTAAAGAATGCGGGAGCAACTTATCAACGACTTGTTAGCAAAGTTTTTAAGAATCAAATGGGTAAGACTGTCGAAGCCTATATTGATGATATGGTGGTAAAGAGTAGGAAAAAGGATGATCATCTGAAGCATCTGCAAGAGGTATTTGATGTACTAAAGCGATATGGGATGAGGCTCAATCCGACCAAGTGCTCGTTCGGTGTGAGTTCCGGGCAGTTTCTGGGACACGTGGTCAACCGCAGGGGCATCGAAGTTAGCCCCGCTCAAGCAGAGGCTTTGATTAAGAATGCCGAGCCAAAGACGATCAGAGAGGTGCAAGCCCTAACAGGACGAATAGCTGCATTAAGTCGATTTATTTCAAAGTTGTCAGACCACTGCAAACCATTCTTTGACACGATTCGGAGCCATGGAAGGCAGGTCTGGGGGGATGAGCAACGACAGGCATTGACTCATTTGAAGCAATATATGCAGAATCCACCAGTCCTGTCAGCCCCAGAACCGGAAGAAAAGTTATTTCTATATCTTGGAGTATCTGGTGTCGCGACGAGTGCCGTTCTGATTCGTTGCAAGGAAGGGGTGCAATACCCGGTATTTTATGTAAGCAAAACACTGATGGAGGCAGAAAAAAGATACTCAAAGGCCGAACGGGTGGTACTTGCACTTGTAAATGCAAAAAGAAAGTTAAGGCATTATTTTGAATCCCACCCCATAGCTGTTCTAACAACTTTCCCAATCAGAACGCTCATGCACAAGCCAGAGCTCTCGGGCAGAATGACAAAGTGGGCCATAGAGTTGAGTTCATTTGACATAACGTACGAGCCGAGAACAGCTATTAAAGGGCAAGCGGTGGCCGATTTCCTACTAGAATGTGATGCCGAAGATACGGAAGAGGACCTTAGAAGCGGCTCTTGGAAACTTTTTGTGGATGGCTCCTCTAACCAGATGGGGGCTGGGATTGGGATCAAACTGCAAACCCCAGAGGGTACTTCCTTGAGCCAAGCACTCAGAC